AAGAAGGCTGGACAAGAACACGACTCAGAGGACGAGACTACAGTAACAACAGATGCGGGGGTCAGGGATCGATACGACGAGAAAGAGGAGAGCTTTAACTCGTCTTCAGCAGCTTAAGCGATGGATGGATGGATGGATCGATCAGAAGAAGGTTTGGAGCTAAATAATCGTTGGTTCGTGGTAGACGTAGATGTTGTCTAGAATTTGCGTTGTTTTGTGGAGCAGTTTTGGATTTCCTGTTCATGTGATCGTTTAGATGTGAAGAAATGGAAAAAGTCGCGCTTACTATGATTTGGATAGTGCAAATCTGACTCTTATCAGCTGAAACTATAAGAAAAGAGGGAAAAACGTTCCTCATGAAATAGAAGCGAGCAAAAAAACTGTACTTGGAGCTATTGGATGCAACATATGTGCTTGGATCCAATAAGAGGCTTGGGAGGAATCCACGCATCAGCTGGGAGCGATTCTCCTTCCCATGGATCTTCCAAAACCTCAGCAACATATCTGTGAAAGCACTCTGATCAATCGAGAAATGGAAAAGAATCAGCGCTTACAATTTCACTGGTTCCACTGGCACGTTGTTCTTCTTCACTTTGACCAGCTGCATCTTGTCCAAAACCACGAGCGAATTCTCCCTCACTTTCCCAAACACCGTGTGCTTTCCATCCAGATGCGGGCTCTGTGCTTCAATGCTGCAAAGGATTTAGAAAATCCAAAGAGAATAGAAAGAAAAAAATCGGCACTCACGGGCTTGAAGAGAATGAAAAACTGGGAAGCATTTGTGTTGCGACCGAAATTGGCCATGGAGACTATCCCTGTCGCGTCGTGGTTGTGCCTGGCGGAAATCTCATCGTCAAATCGCGCCCCATAGATCGAGTAGCCTCCTCTCCCAGTGCCTGCCAGGAGATTATAGCTAGAATTTCTCCGAGCAAGAATTTCACGATCTTGCCTGAGGGATCGCCGCTCTGGCACATAAACCGTGGAACGATCTTCTGCGGAAGAGGAAGAACACTCAGAGACTAGAGCTGGGGATGAAAGAACGAGCGAGATTACGTGAAATGTGATCCCATCGTAGTATCCCGCCTTGCAAAGCTCCAAGAAATTCCGGCAAGTCCTGCGCGAGGCACCGCGATCATCAAAACCCTGCGCGCGATCGATGCTGCCCTACCTTGGCGCGTCCTCCAGGAAGAGATCGATCTCCAAGCGGCCGTGCGTGCAGCACAACACCACCGACATTGCCCTAGATAATATTCTCGTGCGAAAGCCGTTACACGTATATTCCTCATAAACGACCAGGATCGAAAGCCTGTAATCAACGGCTCACATCAAACCTTCAAGAATACTCGATATGCTTAAACAAAAATTCTCTCTTCTAGCGCCCCCTCCGGCTGGCATTGATCTCGTTCAAGCTGTTATAGTCATCCACGAAAGTTTCCCAGGCGGGCTTTCGGCGGGTTTCCTCCTGGATATCGTTCTCGATGGCTTTTCGGATCGGTCGCACCACCAAGAGATACTGCCAATCGATCGAGAGAAAAACTTTCAAGGTGAATTTGGAGGAGCGAAAGCATTACACATTACCTGTGCGAGCAGCACCAGCGGGATCCAAAGCTTCCCCCTGTTATTCGCGTTGGGACCCTCGATGAGCTTCTTGTCCACCAGCAGCGATGGGTGCTCGTTGGTCACCACTTCCACGAGCCGTCCCACCAGGTTTGGAACCCACACGGTTCCATTTGGAAGAATCTGCAAAGAGTTTATCAAAAAGAGTGACTTTGAGAAAGAAAAATGGTTACCTTTTCACCACCAGCATTGGTGCTGCAACGCCCACTATTTTCCACGAGAGCGTAAGGTATCTGAAATAGAACAAATCAGCTAAACCATAGAAGAACAAGGATGAAAAGGTCCAGCGTTACATACGTCGGGATCGGTTTTCTTGAAGCCAGCTTCATGCCTTATAGCCGCTAAGAGCCCCTCGGATCTCTGCTGCACGTAGTCGTCATAGCTAGCACCGTCCGGAGGAGGAAGCTGTGCGTGAGTTAACACCAGCAAACAAAGCTTCCAGATTTGAGGACCGAAGCTACGAGTGATGGCCCTGATGACTTGTTTGTCGAGGCTATCAACTCGGTAACCATCGAGCCGGTCCACATACAAAACCACATCAATAGTTTTGTCCATGAGAAACCTGGGAAAGAAGAAAGTGTCACCTCCAAAAACTAAGGAGAGAACAATCTTACAAACCTCTTGATAATCTCTAGAGCTTGGTCATTCACCCATCCACCTTCAATCAAACCGGGAGTGTCGATAATGTTCAAAGTAAATCCAGCTCTGGACCGTGAAACGAAGAGCGGCCTCAAAGTCTCCGACTGGAGAAAGAAAAAGTCGATTTTGAGAATGCGCGAGATGAAAGAGTAGAATTTACCTGAAAGGCGCTCACGGCTGCTACTCTCTCACCGATTATAGAATTCACCGTAGAGCTTTTTCCAACTCCACCTTTTCCAAGCACTAGAACAGTCATGCTATCCACATTCTGCGAGGAGGAAGCGAAATTCTCAAGCACCCGCAAGAAAGAAATTCCTGGAAGAACTAACCTGTTGCCGGACCTTGCCAAGCAGCCCGTGGAGCGCAGTCTGCGTAGCAACGGGGAATTGGTTAATGCCCGACCATTCCTTGGTGCTTCCCATCCCTGGAGCGGCGACGCGCGCTCAATCGATTGCTCCAGCTGCCAATGTGGCGCCGCGCGCTTGAATCTAGATCCAAGAATCACGTACCCGGAAGAGAGGAGCCCTCGCGGTCGCGGATAAGGGCAACGCGGTGCCCAGTGGTTTAGGGCTTTTGAGAGATATTTGCTAGGGAAGATTCGAACCCCAGACCTCTTTACACTACTTACAGACGATCGAACACAAAGTCACAACGCTATGTATATATCAATCAAAGGGGATTGCCACATCTCTATGTGAGATCGTCATCTTCGTCAATCTTGGCCTTCATAGCATTCTTCGCTCGCAGCAGCATTGTGGTCTTCCAGCCATCCTTGAAAATACAAATTAAGTATCGAGCGAGGAAGAAGAAAACAAAGTCGAGAGAGAAAATATCACAAACATACCAGTCGAGTCATGCTATCAAATTCCTTGACAACGTCCGTAAACTTCTCGACATCCTCTTGCTCGATCGCCTCGGCTAGATCCTGCAATCCATCGGGAATTGAAAACAAGTCCAAAAGGAGAGGGAGGGAGAAAACAAAAACACGTTTCTCACCTTAAGAAACTTGTGCTCTCGCGTGTTCGAAAATGTTGGATCCAAGTCCTGCAAAGTTTCATGATTCAGACAGAACTCCTGGAGCGAAAACTTTGGTACCTCGTATCTCTCGATGGCATTTTGGATGGCTATATGATCAGCACTACAGAGATGGCACAAACCAGCGCTCAGCAAATACCCCTTGACGCTGTACTTCAAGAGATTGTTTCCCATCGAGTCTTTAGCCACTGTCTCGTACACCTCAATAGCTTTTGGATATCTGCAAAAAGAAAAAAGAGAGATAAGAGGAAAACAAGTGAAAAAAGAGACATTTCTAGCTTACAGCTCGAGTTGGGATGCAAATTGAGCAACCTTTAGTTTACATTGGTTCGCGGAGCTCGTCACTTCTTCTCCTTGATAAAAGTCGGCAGCTTTTTCATAGCTTTCCATAGCTTCCTGCCACTTTTCTTCCTTTTCGTACAATTCTCCCACATCCTAAAAGAGTTGGAAAAAAAAAAGTAAAAAAACGCGTTAAGCTGACCAAGAACATTACAAAGGAATTGATAGAAGGTACCTTGAAATGCTTCGCAGCGATCGATAGCTTTCCCATCTCCAAGAAAATATTAGTCGCGGTATTGAGCGCATTGATCGCATCTAAAGGAAAGGAAAACAAAGAAACGAAGCAGTGTGCTGCGGAGAAGAATGCGCTATTTTACCTTGTGGCTTGTTTTTCATGTAGCACTTGGCCGCATCAACGTAGCTCGTGGCGGCCTCGTATCGATTATCGAGCTTGACGTGCATCTCGGCGACCCTGATGAAGCAATTGGCGGCCTTGTCCCCTGGAAAAACCCTGGATTGAGAAAGATGCGCGGAGATCTGGCTCCCAAAACTTACATGATTTGGCGACCTTGTAGTGATTCGCAGCTTGCTGCAAGAGCTCCACTGTATCCTCATACTTGTTCCCAAAGAGCCCCCAGCCCTTGAGCTTGCGATCCGCCTTGCTCTCGAATTCCTTCGCCTTGGCCAGGGCATCCATGGCGAACCAAGAGCCCTAAGCACATCTAGGGTACAAAAGTAGAGAATATTCTCAAAGTTTTAAACTAATAAATACAGGTTATTATACTAGTAAAGTTTATGGCATCGTTTGCTTCACACTTGTTTATTTTATCTGTTATTTCATCTTTATGCTTATCTGAAGCTTACAGAATATTTATTTATAATCGGGTAGGTTTTGATCTAGAATTACATTGCCAATCAAGAGATGATGATATGGGAATTAAGAATATTAAAAATATGCAATCTTATTTCTTTAAATTTGATGTGAATTGGATAGGAACAACACTTTTTTGGTGTGATGCCAAAATAAAAAATGGGTATGAAATTGGAAAAAAAATAACATTTGTTTCATTTAGATTTAAAGACAAAGATTATGGATGGAGAAATTATAGAATTGAATGGTATATTTTTGGGTATGCAATATTTCAAACACATTTAAGCTATCGAACTAACAAATGGTCAATCCCAGTAAGATCTTATAATTGGTAGTTTAATTTAAAAAATTTAAATACTTATGATTTATTTCTATACCTTAATAAAAATAAAAGAAAGACAAAATGATTTTTATTGGGCTTATATTTATGTTTATATAATTTATTTAGTAGAAATGAGTAGTATATATTTTATGTTATTATATTCTTTAATGTTCATATATCACTTATCTACCATCTCTTTGTTTTTATTAAAGTACATTTCACTGTTAATGTCCACAAACCTAGAATCTTTGTTTATAGCAATTGAACTCAAGACATATCATACATATAATTAGAATTTAAGATTCTATACTTATATAGTTGTTTGGATTAGATTGAAGTTTGACTATATTAGCTTTAAAAATTATAAATATTGTAAAAGTAAAGGTTTTACAACTATATTTTTAGAAATTTCAACATAAATGCATCTTTTCTATTTGTCTTTAACATTTTTTAGTGGTTTTATTGTCTTATTTTCTCTCAATGATGAAATGGTGTGTTCTTTAAAGATAAAATATTTATTAATAAATTAAATACTTTACAATGATACAAAAATATTATTAATTATTTTGTATCTTATACATAATTATATGTGTTGTTTACATTTCTTGAATGATGTGTAATACTTCTTGGGCAATGTAGTATCTTGGTCATTTTGCTAATCATTTTTTTTATCACACTGCACCATTACAAGCATTGTTAAAATCATCAATATTGTCTTTCATTAAGTTTGTTAAGTGTGAGTGGGTGTTTATGGATCTCAAAGATCTATTGATGATTTCTCAAGTTTTGGTATATCATGATTATATTTAACTTTTCATTGCACATAGATGTTTTTGATATTGGTATTAAAAGTGTGTTTATGCAAGAAAGCCCAAGTGTGCCTAGTTAGCATTATTTTATTGCATACATCAGCTGTACATTACAACCAGCGGAGATAAACTACTTCATAATAGAAAATGAGCGTTTAGTAGGGGTTTGGGGTTTCAAGAAACTTTATGCATATTTACATAATTCTTTAATATTATTAAAAGGTGATTATACTGTAGTTACTTCATTATTGAAGCAAAAAGCCTTGGCTGATTGTATTGTTTGGTGGGTTTTGAAGTTTCAGATATATGATTTTGATGTTTTATCGCCTTAGGAATTTTATGGCTAATGTTAACACCCTTTTTCGAGGTTCTTTTTTTTCTTCGCTCTTTTCCAATGTATCTAACAAATTTGTTGTTCTAGCATTTATGAATTCTTTGGACAAGGATTCCATGCCGTTAATAGTTGTTATACTTGATAGTTAGTATCCACGAGGTGGAGAGCAAGATTTATTTTTTCTTGACAAGGTTTATGAGGCTTAAAAAGTTGAATTGTAAATCCGAAAGTTTTTAAAACTTTACTTTTATTATGGCTTTACAAGTTAATTTAGAAATTTAATTTGAGAGCTTTTGAGTTCAAATACTATAAGTAGAGGTTTAGGGCTAAATTTTATACTCCTTA